TAAGCGAGAGGCCATCCAAGCCGCGTTTGATGAGTCTCATCAGGAACGTGTGTCCAAGGCCGTGGAAGCAGTTCCGAAATCTTTGGATTCAGAGGGCATTCTGTCCATATTGCAAAGCGCCGGTCTTGGAGCAAACACATCAGCGGCCTCCGGCCTGGCGACAGCTGCACAGAAAGAGGCACAAGATGGTTCAGGCGAGTCAGATCCCGAAGTGGATGATGAGTCGTCCAGTTCGCAAAGTGAGGACGAGGGCACAGCACAAGCACGTGTGCAAAGTTTGGCAGGAAAGAAACAACAAGCCAAGGCGAAAGCTCAAGTGAAACCTGCCCCCAAAGCCTCGAGAGGAGTGACCAGACCGGCGACTTCGGTGCCGCAAGTGGCGCCGGCACCATCACAATCGCCTCAGGCAGCCGTCTCGAGCCAGGCAACAAAGAAGGGGAATTTGGATGATGGTCCAGCCGCTTCGACAAAGACGTTGAACTTGGATGGCCGTGGTATGAGATTGAAGGACAGCCTCAAGAAGGAGTTGACGGAGCTCAAGTTGAAATTTGAGGGTTTGACCGGCTTTGGAGATGACTATAACTTCTTGGACAAGAAAGAGCATGCCGCCCAGCATCGGTCTTTGACCGGGGTGGCAAACTCCATCCAGAACTCCTCGCGTCGTGTTGAGAACAGTCCAAACAAGAATTCTTTTGAAGCGGAGATTGAGGGCTTTGAGTCTTTGAAGTCGCTCGTCCAAACCGCTGTGGAGATGAATACAGCCTTGGCGTCGAGCACCACCGGTCCCAAAGTCATTGAGGATGCCTACGACACTTTGAAGGAGGCCGGGCTCGTGCGTGTTGGATCTTGCTTCTTGTTCAAGCTCTTGGAGACCAAGCTGAACGAGAAGATCCTGTTCAAGAATCTCGCGGACTACGTCGGTGTCCTCGCCGAGGACAGCAAGGAGGCCTTTTGGCGCATTTACATGTCTTAGATTTCAGTGATTTCAGATTTCAGGTGGTTCGTAGATTCGTAGATATGATAATGATGCTGACCATTGAGAATTATTGACTCATTTATTGGCTCATTGTCAACTTGATTGCCTTGTCGACCGACTATTTATAGATGTCTCTCATAGAACATGGCAACCGTCCCAGACCATATTTAGTGATGGTAAGAAAATATTATTATAATGTTTCCTGGCCCCTTTTCATCCTAGGTTCGTCTT